ACGGCGGAGCCAAACTTCTTTATTTCGCGGAGGAAAGGCGGAGCCAAAACGACTAGCACCACTAGACGTTTGTGTGCGGCTCTGCATGATACCGTGAATCTACGTGTATTTGCACGAAGTTTTGAGGGCGAACGAGCACGTTCAACTATTCAAGCAGCGACCTAGAAATCAGGAATTTTTTTTTGGTTTTTTGCAACGATTTTGGTGAGAGATTTGTACTGCATGCTACTTTAGGTTATTATATATATATATTTAGTTTAAAATCGTGTTATTTTTCTTCTTGAACAAGCAACATTCGCAAATAACGAGGAAAAACACCAACTTTTATAGGTACACCTAACACTTGAAAACTTTTTTAAAACTTGTCAACCGTATTTTTATTCGTACTGCAATACTTATTATTTTTCAATTATTTTCTAACTTGAACCTGAGCATAAATGAAACATGACTTCCAAAAGTTGGTAGGATGGGGAATCCAAAGATCACAGACCAAGTCCAGCTGCTGCTCTTCTTCCAGGCTGCCTTTTTCTTCCAAGGCATTTACTTGGTTTATATTCTAGTTCAATCACTGATTCAAAGCAGCTTTTAACCTGCCTTGGGTAAACAGGATCCAAGTTTGGAAAAAAAACATACAAATAAACATCTATGAATGTAACAGAAAAATAATAAAGTCTCGTCTAGCTATATAGAGGAAGAATTCATCTGCCCTTTAGAGGACTACTGGAATAAATCCTCTGGCAATTATAGGAGTAGTCAAACCTCTGGAAGGATGCTGTTCCAGAGAAAGTGGGTAGATACATTCTTCCTAATATGATTGAGTGGAGAAAGAGTACTAAGCAGGTGATCTTGATATCAGTTTTTGAACCAAAAGAGCTTCAGGTGTGACAAATAGCACTTTAAATTGTCTTCAGATGCCAGCTCTTTTATAACTTTCTGCATGCAAAACTAATATTAAACACTTGATTTCCAATGACTTTATGGGCAGGTCCATGTAGTTGTCTTGGAAAGGAGGAAGTATGTCTTTTTCAAGAGGGTTATGTCATTTTCAAGATCATTGCTTATTTTAAATATTTTTTAAATAGTATACTAAATGAAAATTCACTATCTTGCTGAGGCTGAATAACTGTCCAAAGTTCCTCTCACAATCAATGAATTTGTGCTTTCATGTGTAACCTTCAAGCAGAAGACAAGGCCAGGTTCAGTATTTGGGACAATAGACTTCTTTAAAATTGTATTTAGCTGAGTGGCCATTTTTCTTTTGAGACACCTTCTGGCAGGTACATTCTGATGGGGAACAGAGGTCATAACTTTATTATGACCTTTATAATCTAGATGTTAATATTAACTGCATGGTTGGATCTGCAACCTGCTCTATTTTTTATTTTTTCTGTCAGAATTATATATTTGATTAGAAACTTCTTTTTCCCTAGGCTCAATGAATCCACCAAACTTAGCCTTCCCAGGAGCTGCTATTATTGACTATTTGCTTCTTGCCTAAAGTAATTTCCTATCAGTCTGAAGGTGGCAGCAAAGAACAGAATACTAAAATAGTATTACTACATCATTTTGGAGAATACCTTTTTCTGAAGTTCACCTATACATAGATGAAGTACTAGGTTGCTGTTCTTTATGTACTGTATCTTTAAGGAGTCCAAGAGGGATAATCCTCATGCCTTTGCTGGCTGAGAAATTCTAGGAAGTGAAGGCCACATATCTTCAATGTTAAGAAACATTGCCATAAAGACTAGCAAATTTATTCTGGTCCAAATAAAAATACATAGGAGGTAAAGTTGCTTCTTAGGTACCGGTACATTTGTCAATTGTTTATTGATGTATTTCTTTTTGGCTTTGTTCTAATCAACAGAATTCCATGTACTGTACTCCTCTCTCTTTGGTAGCTGAATGGCCAGTATTGATCAGGACTTTGTGGAGAATATTGCATATAATATGTGCAGAATTTATTTTCTGCTTCTTGCAGACTTAAGAACCCTGGGAAACAAGTTTTAAGCAGCCTTCTGGGCATGAAGCATACCAGTAATTGTTTCCTCCTGATCTCAACATGACTTTTATAAAGTGCAGGATTTTTCTACCACGATTTACACAAAAGCTTAACAGGTGGATGTACTCACACTAAACTTAAAAATATGTAAACTACATTATAGCTAAACAGAAAAGCAATCTATGGTTAATATGTAATATTTAGCCATGATTTGGTTAGGTACAATTAGTGTATTGTGTGAATACAACCAGCATCATAATCCCTTGCTGATTCCATAAAGCCATGCCTTCCAATGCAGAAGGTTTGATTTGGTCTACCTCATAGGGCTGTCATCCAGGAGTTCTCGGACTTTTTCAGGCAGTGGAACTAGTTTAAAAAAATTCCCAGAATCTTTGGTCAAGAGGGAAACTCAAATGATAGAAACTTGCCTATATTCAAGTGATGTAGTGTTTTTTTTTTGCCTTAAGTCTTATAGAATCTCATAACCAAGGTTCTGACCAGTTCTGGAGAACCATAGCAGAAATTTTGAGTAGTTCAGAGAACCAGCAAATACCACCTCTGACTATTCTCCCATCTATTCTCTGCCTCTCACGTCCCAGCTGATCGGCTGGGTCTTATTTTGTTGCCCTGCATAGAACGGAGCTGGAAAGCAGGTTAGTCGGGTGGGGAGGGAATGGGATTTTGCAGTAAGCCATGCCCACCAAGCCAGTCAATCTCTCTCAGGCCTAGGAAGCAGGTATTGGCAACTCACTTCTGAAAAACTTGCCAAGAAAACTGCATAGATTAGTTGAGGTAGGCATCAGGAGCCAACACTGTCCTGGAAGCAAAAAAAAAAAAAGTGGGGGGGAGGTTTTGTTTGATATATCTGTTCTTTCGGTATATCAATGTAATTCTAAAAACAGACTGACCAGTTTACCTCACTAGTGGCTTTAAACATCTAGCTACTACTATGCTGATAAAGCAGCAATGCCCCATGGCATGAGAAGATTCTTCAAAGGAAATGTGACACTTGCTTTCAATCAGGTTAGGATGCTAGGGCCTAATATTTGGAAATCTTTCCTGCAGCTAATATGGCCAGCTTTGATTATGTTACAATTCATTTTTTTTCATTGAGGTCTCCTAATTTATGGCTATTATACATATTTATACATCATTGTGTATTTTTCTCTTTAAAATATATTAACTTAATTTGGTATACTATATGCCATAGAGCGAGAAGTAGGAAGGAGTTCAATATTCGAAGTACCCTTATAACCCAGAGGTTTTTGATTGGCCGACAAAGATTTAAAATTATCTGAATTAGAGCATACCTTTTTTCAAATACTTAATAAAGTTATCCAAATGAGTTTTTACTAACCCCTTTTATTAGCATATCATGAAAGTTCAAAGACTAGGCTAAACCTGAAGCCCTCAAAAGACTTAGCAAAATCTATCTAAACATTTGCTACTTCCCATGTTGCTTTATAGATGAACTGTAAGTGAAAATTCTGCTTTAAAAGTTTTTATTAAAATATTTTACACATTCAATGGGAAATACATTCAAAGAAAAAAAAATGAAGAGTAGAAAAGAGAAAGAAAAAAGGTAGAAAAAAACCAGAAAACATCAAAAATACATATTAAAAAGTGCCTTTCAATCTTCTGTTAGCAGTTATATGTACAATCCTAATCCAACTTCCCTTGTTGTTAGTTGCAAAGTCGTGTCCAACCCTTTCTGTCCTCCAGAGTCCATTTAAGCTCACACCTGCTTCAGTGACTCCATCCATCCACCTCATTCTTCTATTGCCCTCAATCTTTCCCAGCATTAGGCTCTTCTCAGTGAGTCCTTCTTCTCTAAGTCCAACTTCTCTAAGATTACATAATTCCCTTATTTCTGTAACCTTTCTAATCAAAATCGTTAGTCCCCAAATCATTTTTAAGTGTAAAAAATCCATAAGAGGTTTCCAGTCCGTGATTTCAATATCAGCTGGTGGTTTGTTTTTTTCCCGTTTATGAGCCCTCCAACCAACTTCAAGCGTTGTGATATTTCGAATGGTCTAATAAGGGTATTTTTTTTTATGGAGTTCGCAACGTCTCAACGCTACTGTTAAGAAAACCAGTGCAGATGAGATACAAAATAATGTTCACGAAAAAGAATTCGGTTTTCGAGTACAAGTTTTCAGAAAACACAGAAAAAAAATTTCGTGAAATCAGTTGCATATCAGTGGAGAGAATTTTCAAAACTTCAAACGCAAGTATTAGATCTGGCGTGTTCAGCCCAATGCAGTTCCAAGACACAAAATTATCAATCCCATCCCTATTCTTTGCCGTCCTTGCGCCACTTAATCCTTTTAAAATGAGTTCAATACGCAAGTCCTGACGCAGATTACCTCACTTTAATTTTTATACAGGTAGCCGTGCTTCCACATTACCCATTCAAACTCTCATTCCAAGATCAACTCAGGCAGACTTTCTAACAAGCATGCGCACTACAGCCAAACCACGCTATGTTAATGACGACAGTGCGCTTGCGTAGTTTTATGTCGGGCAATTGAGGTGAATTCTGATCGCGTGTTTTTCTTGTCCTTCCACGATTGGTTGGAAATTGCAACTGCGCAGAAAAGAGCAAAATAGCGCACGCGCAGATGAAATTTCTGACAAGGTGGGGAGTGCCACGCATGCGGATTAGGAGTGGTTAACCCTTAAAAAAAGTTAAGGCTCTTCGGTCTCTCTCTCGCTCTCTTTTTTTAGCACTTGCGCAATTGAACCCGGGCGGAATTGATTCTTTGCGCATGTTCAAGAAAATTCTGGCGAGCCTGCGCATAACGAAGGTGAAGTCGGAAAACTTATTGAGCACTATTTACGCAATCATTCCATGGAGCGTTTAATGACCTCTTTCCGCCCTCTTAGACACGCCTTCCAGCCTGCGTCGGCTCATTCCCGTCGCCGAGGGGAAAAACCGCGCGTGCGCAATGGCTTTTAATTCCCGGTACGCCTCCTCGCTTGTGGGCGGGGCCGTCTTTCGCAAGTGTCGGCCGGCCGAGGTGCGCGCCTGCGTGTTGAAGACGGTCGCCGCGATTCAGTCAAGCCAGGCAGTGAGTTTGTGAAGGAAAGGGTAAGGCGGGCCTTTTTCCCTTTCCGGAAAGGCGGGCGGGCGGAGGAGCCGGCGAGACTTGAGGTGAGTACGTGGGGACGGTGAGCGGCTTCTTTTTTTAAAAAAATTCAACGTTGCACCTCAGAGAGCCTTCCTCTGACTGACTGTGTTGCCCTTCCCCCACCTTCCCTGTCTCTTTACAGCCACCCACCGTCGCTCAAGAGAGTCTCGGAACTGGAAAAGGAGGGGGGAGACGCCCAGGCCTGCCCTGAGAGGGACTGACTGAAAGACGCCGGGCGCTCCCGCCCTTCCCCATGAAGCCCCGCCCCCTTCTGAGCCAGCTCCGCCCCCGTTCTCTCGGAGGGGTCTCCAGGAGGGTCCCTTCGCGCCCCTCCGGTGGCACTAAACTGCATTAAATCCTCTCCACCTTCTCGTTTTTTCCTTGTTGGTGCCTGCCAGGGTGGTGCTTTCCCCCTTGCCACCTTTTGTCCTCCCATCGCTTTGCTGTAGCTCAGATTGACTGGCTTCCTGGTTGTGGTTGTAGTAAATACACTTCAGCTTGCATTGGGCTTCTATCCAGCAGCGTGGTGTGTCTTCTTTTTTTCCCCCCTGTCACTGGGTGTAACAAGAACCCTTCTCTATCTTCTTGTGGATGCCTGTCTCTCTACTGCTACCATCATGGGCAAGGTACTGTCCAAGATCTTTGGCAACAAGGAGATGCGGATCTTGATGCTTGGCTTGGATGCAGCAGGGAAGACCACCATCTTGTACAAACTGAAGCTGGGCCAAGCGGTCACAACCATCCCGACTGTGGGCTTCAATGTAGAAACGGTGACTTATAAAAATGTCAAGTTTAACGTGTGGGATGTTGGGGGCCAAGATAAAATCCGGCCTTTGTGGCGGCACTATTACACGGGCACTCAGGGCCTGATATTTGTGGTGGACTGCGCTGATCGGGACCGCATTGATGAGGCCCGCCAGGAATTGCACCGTATTATCAATGATCGAGAGATGCGGGATGCCATCATCCTTATCTTCGCCAACAAGCAGGACCTTCCTGATGCCATGAAGCCACATGAGATCCAAGAAAAACTGGGCCTGACCCGAATCAGGGATAGGAATTGGTATGTTCAGCCATCCTGTGCCACCTCGGGTGATGGACTCTATGAAGGGCTGACATGGTTAACATCTAACTATAAATCCTAATGATTATTTTAAACCATGACAAACTGTTACTAGTCATTAAGAGAGTTAGCACGCATAAGGAACACTGTGGCTTCCCAGAAAACAATGATTCTCTTTACTAAAAAGTTCAGAAATTAAGCATCCATAGGATTTTAATGATTGCTCACCTCTTCTCCAATTACCATCCTTTCCTTCTGCACACTTGACTGCTTCCCAGTTAAATAAAAAATTTGCTTGGTGTTAAGAAATGCTCTAATCTTTAACTGTTAATGAACAGAAGCATTAATTTCTGTGGCAAACTTCCAGCAATGTGGGTTGGGGGGGAAGACACAGGTTGCAGCTTTGCAAAATATTTTTTCTCAAATGTTGCAATGCTTTGACTTCATTTATTTGGGTTCTGGGGCTAAATGTATCATTTCTTTAAAATGTATGCTTTCGAGTTTGATAGTTTTCTCCCTCATTTATTTTTGCTGTAAATTTGCTTCTTTTTGCCATGATGCAGAATATGTTAGGTCTCTGTTATCTAGTAAAATGAAAACCACTGTTAATGAATTAACTGCATTCTGTCCTCTTTATGGCAAGAATCTAAGAAAGGAAATAAAATTCTGAATTCTTTTGGCCATTTATAAATAATAAAAGTAGCATTTGAACATATGGTTGCACATTAGAACCTGATATTAGTTTATCTGGCCAACAACTTCAGAATATTGAAAGTAAGTTGTTATATCATGCATGTTTAAAAATGCAAATAAGTTTCCATTCTAAATAGTAACCATATGCAGGATATGAGAATGGTGTCAAACCGCAGTTCCTGTACTTTGCAATTTGTTAGCTTTTCAGCTGCAATATTAAGTAATTGCATTATTTTCCAGTTCTAGTGCAAAAAAAAAAATCACATTCCATGAAATGCAGCAATAATTTATAAGCATCGCTGTGACATGCAGTTTTTTAAAACACAAAACTTGAATGGTAAAACTATTCCTCTCAACAGTTGAGACAGGATGGCAGTATCACAATTGGACTTAAAAGCATCTCAAATAATAAATATTTTTGGATCTTTAACTTGGCTTAATGCAGCTTTATGAACCTGAGAGGTAGGAAGGAACCTTCATCTGCTTTTGTGTAATTGTTAAACTTAAATGCATCAAAATAAAAGGATGTGAGAGTGTGGTTTGTGGATGCCACTAAATTAAGTGCAACAACTGAGTGGGTTTGGAAAACTTGGCTCTTTGTACACAAAATCACGTTGAACATATACAGGCAAGTTCTACCCTTTCATTCTGGCAGTACTTTTTACTTTGTCTTTTGGATGTCTACATTTATAAATCCCTTTGGAAGGGTAGCTAACGATTGGGGTGGAGAGTGAGCAAATGACTATGAATGTAAACTTCCATGTTATTTTTTTTAAGGCAATCATTATTTTGCCATATCTCATTCAAATATCTGATTAGTTGTCGGGAGATTATTGTGAATTCAGGTTAGCATAAAAATTTCAATGAAGTATTAATACTGGTGCAAAAATGTAACACAGCTGGTTTTTTATTCAGCCTTAAGGATTAATTTTGAATTTCCTCAAGGAGTAACACTCATCTGAGGAATTTTAGGAATGTATTACTACAAACCCAGAAGAAAATTCCCATTTTCTAAAGGGTATCTGTTTAAATTGGGGCATTATATTACACTTCAGTGTTTTTTCTATTTAAATTGTGAGCTAAAGCTTGTACCAAAGATGTTTGAGAGATAAAATTATATTGAATTAGTTTCTTAAAACTCAATGCTTAGCATCACTCAACAGAAAATAAAGCCTAATTCTAGATGAATCTATAAACAATTTTAGTATAAAATCAGTGAAATTAATATCAATAGAAAATGCAGCATTCCTTCAGAAAATCTTTTAAAACATAACATGAGAACAATGAGCTAAACTATTATAGTATGATTGTGTTAAACACAGAAATGTCCATAAACAATTGACTGTCTTCTGGAATAGCTAAAGCCAAGCACAAAGTAGTTGCCTAAACTGGAAAACTTGAAGATCTGTTACTGGTTCTCAAACTTTCATATAACTAATTGCAGTGAAAATATAGGTGGGTTTACCTTTGGTATAGAGTTTGTAGTACTTTTCTCCAATTGAGGCAGAATCAAATCTTCATACAAATGTATTAAGTTGGATACATAACTTGTGTATGTCATTTAATTTTGTTCCTCCAGGTATGCTGATTCTCTATGGTTCAAAAGAATACTTTCTGCTTTCCCCTTTAAATCAACAGTTTTGGATGAAAATCACAGATGTTGCATGAAATATGTGGCAAATAGATTAAATAATTTTTGCTACTGAACAAAATGTACAAAAATTTATAAGTGTCCTTTTCCAAAGAAACAAGATTTTGTCTTTTCTGTGGCTCAAAGTAGCCACAAAAATGGCTTTAGATATTTATCTGCAGCTTGCAAGATTAAATGCAATCTGTTAGAATTCCACTCCTTTAAAAAATCAGTACATACAACTTCTGTGTTCATGTGACTTATAAAGTACAACTAAATACATTTTTGAATGGTGTTAACTATGTTTGATAAGTCTGTAGACTGTGATCTCCCTAAATAAAGTAAACAGGATTTTTGTGTCTGCAATATGGTTGTAGTGTTGGTAAAAGAACTAATAAGCAGAAAATAAAACAATTATACAGCACATTTTTATGTTATATTTCAATGGGGGAGAAAAAGTTTTTTAAATGCTTGCTTTTCAGGTTTTGTGTGGTTTATGTTCAGAGTTCTTGCCTATGGGTAAAGGCTGCTGATTTGATTAATTAAAATGTAGCTTTTTCTGCTGTGGTTAGACCACTTAAAACATGGGAACCTAGCCTTGCTTAGCAAATAGCAGCATCCAGTTAATCATGCTTGAGCTGGGAAGCTAAGCAAGGTCAGACTTGGTTAATAGTTGAATGCAAAATTACTAGAGAATACCAAGGCTGTAAATTACAATAGGAAGATGCAAAAACATCCTGGAAGAATGGCAAACAACTTCCTTATTGTTGCAAAGTATCTCTTAATAGCAAAGTCCCTTGCTATTAAACTTGTTATGTTTTGATGATAGATTTGTGTCCAAAAGGACTGGAAATAATTAAGTTGACTATAACTATTCTAGGAATTTAAGAGACCACATTTCACCAAGTCAGGCCATTAGCACATCTATTAATGGTTAATAATACTGGAGTATAGGTAGCACCAGCATCCATGATGGTGATGAAAACTAAATTGTATGTATTGATGGTGTCATGGAAATGCCAAAAGGTATGTACTTGTGTTCAACACTGTAATGCAAATTACATTTGTATTGTCTTTCTGATGTCACCATCAAAGTCTGCACAGCATTCAGACAATATTTTTCTCTGAGCTATAGTCTGTTATAAGCAATGCGTATTTTCTGTCATTAATCTTTCTTGTTTTATCTCTTAAGACAATGGTTACGTTCTCATCATATTAGGATACTAGGACTATTAGTTTTAGAATTGTGTTCAAATATTAAATATTACAACTAATCATTGAAAGTAGATTGGAAAATCAAAGATGGGTGAGTTACAATAGTCCCAAAGATGCTTTTTCAACTCTGAACTGAAGAAGCTTCTTGGATGAGAAGTGAAACATCTTTAAAGAAAAACCAGAAAGTCCAGTTGCCTCTTGAAAAAGCACCTTTGGGGCGACCATGACATGGTTAACTGAGAATCTCTATAGAATCTCTGCAATATTAGCAAAGTAAAAGCAATTATTATGCCAATTATTCCTAAAACTAAAACTGCCTAGAATAGCCCCATAGTAAGATAGGTGGCAAATAAATTTAACAAATAATTTAAAACTCAGAGACACTTTGGTTGAAGAAGCTTCTAAAATAAGATGCAATAAATAAGAGCCTGTAAATACATACTAGTAAATTGTGGACCCTATCAATGTATATAATGTTTTTAAAGGTGAATATATGAATGCTATGACAGCTAAATCAAATGAGATAAATACATACAAATCAAAGTCAATTTGAAGGATTGTAATTAAGGATAATAATTCCGACAACTCAGGATTTAACCTAAAAGTTAATATGTATGTGCAGGATATATACTATTTTCTATAAATGCTAGAGAATCTAAGGTTGCATAATAGTCACATTGAAAAGGAATTAAGTTAAATCAATTGTGTATTGTTTTGCCAAATTTAAGACAATTGTAATGCAACAAATACCTGAAATGGGATGACTATATAGATATTCTAGAATTACAATGTCTTAAGTGTATTTGGGCCTCGCCAAAAATTAGAAATGATCTATAAATTAATATTACTTGGTTCAAAATCCTTTACTGCAATTAAATATTAGAATTTCTTTTGAATGAAAGTCATTGAAGATTCTAGAAAGAGACTGTTCTTGGAATTTTTAAAAATCTCAATGGATTTATTACGATATTTAAATGAGAGAGGGAGGTGGGAAAATCAGGTTTGTTGATTGAGGTTTGGTTCAGAAATTGTAACCATAATTGTTCATGTTGCATCTTATAAATTCTGAATTTTAAAAAGTGGGTTCTTAAACATATATCCAATGTTGCATTGAAATTAAGCAACACTTAATTTCAGTGTTTCAGAGTTTTAGCCAAGTCTACTATCTCAATTGAATTATTAGAGGTGCAGTGACTCCGTGGCTTAATGATGCAGGAGATGATCTCAGCTCTGGCAGTTTGAGCCCTGGCACTGTATGGCAGGGTGAGCTCCTCAGCGTATCCACTAGCAGTTCGAAAGCTTTTTCTATGCAAGTAGATAGATAGGTACCACTTCAGTATGGAGACGAGCTGGTGCTCTGTGCAGGCAGGCAGATTCCTGATGGCTCTGAACCTTCCCAGTTGTGTCACCTGCTTACAAGGCAGCTCTGGGAAGGGAGGAGGACTGAGTGGTGCAGCAGGAAGAGCCACTCATCTTTCTGGTGTGAAGCCAATTAGCTTCCTCCGGTGCCCCTTGGGAATGCACAAGCATGTCCTATAATGGGGCTGGTACCTTGGCAAGCCAAATTATTACTTTGCAACAGCATTGTGATCTCCTGGCTAACCATATGTCAATAATAACAATAATAATTTATTAATAATTAAAACTATTTTGCAGCATGAGTGAATCTTTGCAGCAATTACACTCTTATAGAATGTTCAAATATTTATTAAATTTATATGCCATCCATTTCACATTCTGTGCCAGCTATAGCTTCCTACTACTCTTCAATGCACAGCGTGTTGCAGCAGTTCAGATATGACCTGAGCAGGGCCTGAGTGACTGAATGCAAGGACTCACATTCTAGAAAAGGACACAACTGAAGCACAACATATACATATATCAAGGGATAAACATGCAAGAGTAAATAGCCCCTGACAATTCTATGACATTTATTTCAGTTGTGAATGGTTCAAGCTTCTGAAAAATCATAGGACCACTGTGAAATAATTTTAATTCGTAAACCATCTAACATTTCCAGATCAGAGTTGTAACTGAATTGTTAGATTTATATCCAACTTTTCTTCCAGGAGATCAAGACATGCCTAGTTTTCCCCATAGTCAAAATGCAGGGGGAGAGGATGAGCTGAAAGACGTATAGCATTATAATTACTCTGAGTCTCATAATTTCCAGCTATCATTGTGAGTAACTGATTTGTGATCTGTGACTCCTATACTTTAATTTGTGACTTGAACATAAATTACAGTTCTCTTTCCCCACTAAGTTTACATAATTCAAATATTTCATTTGGTTCTTTTGGGCTCTGTAGCATTTAAAATTGAGAAAATTTGAGAACCTGGAAAATACCTTCATGGCCCAGTTTCTGTGACTTTTCTTGACAAGAGTTTAACATAAACAAAGCCAAGATTTTACATTTATCTTTATTCCCTTGGCAACCTGAGAATGTGCAAAATATTCCACAAAAGTGGTTAATCCAACCTTCCAGTCTTAAAGCTTACAGTCTTCAAACCAGATTGTTCCTCTGAATTACAACTAAATTGTTTTTCTATTTGGTTGATTCTCTAAGCTAATTCATGTAGCTTCATGTAACTTTTTATCTCATTGTTTTTAAATTGCTTTACAGTACTGTCTGATATTGCAATCTTGTTACAATGTACATTTCAACTTAAGTTACCTTTTTTTCTGGGCTGGGGAGACTAAATGTGTTCAGGTCATGTTTATCTTTCTTGTGGGAGGCTCTGTACCACATACCAAAAACTTCTATGGAAGGACATTGAATCTCTCTTTGAAGACTAAGATTGTTGAATTGTTTGCCCTCAATCTTTATAACACATTCCTCAAAAGTACTGAATTTTCAATATAAACTATAGAAGGGAAGTTGTGTTATGATAGAACAATGTATGTTTGCCAGGAACTATTAAGCATAAGTCTTAAAATATCTCAAAGCCTATGCTGGCCTTTGAAGTGCCACAATTTTCTTTTTAGTACTTTGAGTGCCGGTCTTCAGAAGGACAAGTGATAAATGGTCTGCATTAACTGGAGGCATGAAATTTGATCACATGACTTTAGATTCTCTAAAAATGTGGTTCACTGTATGAACAAGAGTCTGTGAATAGAATTCCTCTGGTTCATTGGAGTTTATTAGAATGGACCTTGCAGTAATTTATTTTGTTTCATTTCTTCAGTGCTTGTTTACACTACAGACTTTCTTTTAACAACTGAATCAAAAACCTGATTCAGTATCTACTATACATCAGATTCTGATTTAGATACAGGAAGAAACTAGTTTATCTAACTAAAAGTTTTGCATCAGTCAGAGCAAGACAACAAAAAAGTGGAGGTAGAATATAAGCAAGTAAGACCTTTCTTGGTGTTATAAATCCATTATCTGAACAGAGATAATGAATAGAGTAGTTGTGAACAGAGTAGTTGTGTGAAACATTTATGGCCTAAGAGATTCTGGAAAGGAATGCTGGCTTCCCCCTGTATTTAACACCGAAAAGGATATAATTCCTACAAAGTAGATATTTTGCAAGTGTTACACACATAGTATATAGGCTCACACATTGTACTAAGGAAGAATGTGGCTTGATTTCAGCATGATATGTTGTGTGTATCTGGCCATTTTTCTTTGTTAATTACAATGTATGCCTTAGAGCACTGTATCCCATTGCAGCCCATTGTGGTTCTTTCAAATCATGATTAAAGAGACAATTTATTTATAAGATAGCCATTGCATCTTTAAACACAATTTGTGCTTTGGTCAGAAATAGTATCAGTTTCATTCAGTAAAAAAATATTTGTTAAGTTTATATGATTGTCACATAACTAAATTTCTTGTAAGGTTATATATCTCCTGTAATAATGAATTGATATTTTTACTACATTATATAAGCAAGAGCTTCATTCTGAATCCTATAATAGCGTCTTAAAAACTTTGTTGCCATTTGAGTTCCCTGAAAATCAATACTGAAAATCTTATAGGTTTAACAGTATATTCAACTAGTCTTCAATATTAGAGGAATTCACATTATTTTGGCTTTAGAATGAGAGTACAATAAAATGGGTAGCCAACAGCTTTCAGGTTTACTTTTCCTGAAAAGCAGGTTTGAGGTTTCTTGCATTAAAACTAAGTACAAGTATACAACATGCAATTAATAATATTCAGTTAAATAATATGACTCTTGCCCAGGCAAGAAAGAATTAAA